CTGAAGAAACATGTGAAGACAGTGAAGATAATATTATCGTTATTAGTGATGATAGTAGCAGTGAAACGGATGAAGAAGTACCACTAATCACAGATGTCAAAATGGAACATGCATACAATGATTTATATGAAAATGATTTATTAGAAGTTATAGAAGAAAACTCGGAAAAAAGTACCAGTATTGATTATAATCAAGAGCAGCTAAATGTTTCAGATGGCTACAATATCTATGCAGGCTACTATAATAACATTTTTTTTTGGCATTGGTCGAATATATATTGTAATTAACTTAAAAAAAAAACATGAATTTGTTTGAATAAAAAATACCTTCAACTTTTAACTTTTGTAAAAATAAGGGAAAGTGTTTGAAAATAGTATAAATATTATGATATAAATTTTGATAAACAACATCTTGAACAATTAAAAGAAAACAGGGAAAAAATCAAAGCTATAATAAATTCTGTGACATATTTGGGAAAACAAAATATTGCTTTACGTGGTCATCGTACCGAAGCGGAACTAATAGAATCTTCAAGCTTTAATGAAGGGAATCTTAGAGAGCTTATCAGGTATAGAATCGAAACTTGCGGAGATCACTTTGAATCTGCTTCAGCTCGGACTAAGTATATTAGTCCATCAATTCAAAATGAAATAATCACTTGTTGTGGAGATGAAATTCTTAGCGGCATTGTTGAAAGCGCAAAGAAAAGTAAATTTTACAGTATAATTTTTGACGAAACTACCGACATCAGTACTACTTCACAAATGTCTATTGTATTGCGTTATTTAGATGATGCTAATAATATTAAAGAAGATTTTATTGGTTTTCTTGATTGTCATAAGGAAAATTATGACGATTTTACACATGAACCTGTTCTTACAGGACAAATATTAGGGCAAACTGTTGTTAATTTCATTAAAAAAATCGGTTTGCCAATGGAAAATTGCATAGGAATTGGTACCGATACATGTTCTGTAATGTTATCTAATCAAAAAGGTGCTGTTTCGGAGATACAAAAAACAACGAAAAATGCAATTAAATGTCCTTGCTATTCTTTAAATATTTCTATATCAAAAAGTAGCAATATTCAAGATATAAGGAATACTGTAGAAACAATGAAAGAGACAATTAGTTTTTTTAAAGCTTCTCCCAAAAGACTTAGGGCCGGTTGCATAAACGCAAATCAAATTTAATCTCTGATTAAGAACAATTGTAACTATGATAATAACAATCGTTACTATGGAGTTAATCATAGTATAACCCTCTTTCGGAGGGTTTTACAGCGAACGGCAGCTCTTTAGCCGGGGCGGGTCGCGGTTCGGAGAGTTCTTATTATTTTTTTTTGTATTGGGCGCCACGTAGCTTCCTGTTGGGGTAGTTTACTCCGCTACGTCGAGTAAACAGTCGAGAAGAATCAAGCCACAAGAAAACACAGGAAAAAAAAACTAAAAATATATTCAACGGATAATAAAATTGACAAGTGTTGATTAAATGAAATTCTTCTAATATTTCACAAAAAAAAAAAATACCATTAACGTCCAGAAGGGACTATCATTGAAATATATTAACGTAATATATCAGAAAATGAAATGTATTCATGTGTCCTCGTACAAACTATCTTGCGATATGATAAATTAAAATACAAAAAAACTTCCAAGAATTTCGATAAAGATAGCTGTGACCGGGCCACTAAATGGAAAATTAGAACTATAAGGCGTTAGAGTGGACTTAGCTCGTAACCGTAGTTATCAGCAGCTCCTCTTCGTCTGGATTGGGATTGATAAAGAAACAGCGGCGTCACTGACCTCTGGATCCGAAGAAAAACTTCAAGGTTAGCGGCGGCTCCGCAGGAACAGCAGCGAAAATCAAAGTCGTCGGTTCGATATGGTCTCTTCAAGGGAACAACAGGGACGACAATAAGCTACTCACTGCAACGGCATCACGATAAGCTTGGTTCTTCCAGGAACTCTTCACTTGGGTGCGGTGATAAAAAAACGAACGATAAAATTCCTCTTTTCTGTAGTGGACGATACGAAAACGGCTAAACTAAACCTCTTGCTTCGAACAAAACGATAAAAATCTCTATCTTGAGTACTTCCTCTTCGTCCTTCCACTTTCTTCCTTCAGAAACTCCACCAAAATCTTCTCGAAAACTTCTTTTCTCCTCTTCGGCTACGTCCTAGCACTTCCTTCCTTCAGCAACTCCACCAAAATCTTCTCGAAAACTTCTTTTCTCCTCTTCGGCTACGTCCTAGCACTTCCTTCTTCCAGGATCTTCGCTAAAACGCCTCACGAGAACCTCTCTCTTCCCCTATCAGGTCGATACTCTCTCGAATATTCTTTTTCGCGGGGTGGGAGTACCAGCTCATTAGCAGTGCCACGACGTCGTTTGACACTCCCCATAGGCAACCATGATGTCTTAGATGTCGGCACGTAAAATATTGCATCCCCAATAAAACAACCCTTTTTTTTTAAGAAGGGATGAAACAAAACAATTGGAACGTTTATCTCTTCAACAAAATTGAAACGTTACAATAGATTAAATTTGATTTGCGTTTATGCAACCGGCCCTTAACGTTTTCAAATCTATGAATAATAGTCAGTTAATTAGTTTATGTGAAACAAGATGGACAGAACGACACCAATCTGTTTTAAACTTTAAGCTTTCTTTTGAATACGTAATTGACGCGTTAGAACTGATATCACAATGGAAAGACAATGATTCTTCGTCGAAAGCTCAAAGATTAACATACAGGTGACTGCGAAATATATGCAAATATTTTAACCACGGCATCCCCCACCCTGGTAGAGCCGAAATATCGAAAAAACAAATTAAAAATCGAATGGGGCAAAACCCCCATGAACCACCCTCGATACGAAGGCACTGAGCCACCTTGTAAACAGAGTTGGAAAAACGTTCGACTAAAAACGACCTAAACACTTTCAGTTTCAATTAAAAGTAAAACCGACACAGTGTGAAAGTTTTTTGGCAATTTTGATTCTGACGGATGTTTGGTGCTTGTCACAACGATTTTACATTGTTTATTGGAACAGAAATAAGAGCAACTTAGAATGCTACTACCTTTTTACAAGAAATGTTGAAAATGTTGTCCTTGACTAGCAATTCAAGCGTCAGAGCGTCGCAAGAGGTTTGTTGATAGGTAAAGAAACACCGGAGTAGCGGTTGCCACTTTCACTTGTTGAAGCTCTTCGATTATTTCTGGACACTGTTGATTTCCACAAACGAATTGTTTCATCCAACCAATACACGTTTCTTGAAAACCGTCTCTTGAAATCGTACTTGTTGACGACTATGTGAATTTCCATTGGACAAAAAGTGAGTTACACAACGTGGACAATTGGACTCCAAACCGCGCACTTTGTCAACATGGTATGGTTGTGACCGTGTACTTTTAATGTAGGATGCACTACAAGCTGCGAAAATCCAATTTCTTCTTTCTGTCCCATCACGACCACGATCGTGAGTTTGAGGTTGAAGGTACCATGATCTCGGAGATGCTGTACCACTGACGTAAATGTTCGCGCACATGGCATCGCGCGATTTGGAAAGCGTTCGATCCACAATTCGCGGGCCAAGCTTGAGTTCCCATCCGCCACCCCATACAGCATTACCATGTCGACACGCTCTGAATTTGTAAAATTCACCATTGTCAAACACAACCGAAGACACCCAGCTACGGCAAGTAAATGATACACGACTGTCCTTATCGTTTTTTTGCACTAGTTTTTTGGTTCTTAAACTTCGTCGCTGTGTGCCATTCATTGTAGTAATGATGTAGGTCAAGAAACACTACCAGCGGCGTGTGTAACAATTTATATGTAATTTCAAATAATTTTTTCTCGACACTGCTACCACTTAGGACCGTGAATTTTAAACAGTGACATACTCGTATCGTGAGCTATTCCCCTTTTTTTTTTGCACATATTTCGCAGTCAGGCTGTATGTCTCTTTTTTGCTTATCGTATTTTCTTGGTCATCAATTCAAGTAAGCTATTACAAAAAAAGTCAGTAGATAACAATTTTGCAAAGTCATTAATCGAAGAGATTACAGCCGTTTTAAACAACAAAAGGGACAATGCAGATTCTTGTTTTGAGGACATTTTCAGTGAAGTAGAAGAAATCCATGAGAAACTAAACATTCCTTTAGTAATTCCTCGTATTAATGCTAGACAAACACACCGTTTCTATGTACAACATTCCAACCCTAAAGATTACTACAGAATCAGTATTTTTATTCTTTTACTAGATAACGTTATACAAGATTTAGATTTTCGTTTTAATGCTGATATTTTTTCAGTTTTTGAAATAAATAGTTTGCTGCCTCCAGCTTTTCTTCAGACAAGTAAAGCTGAACGCAAAAGTATAAAAATTAATTTATCAAAATATTTAACAAATTTTGTAACTGAAAGTGAAGAATTTATTGCAAGTGTTTTGGAAGCTGAATTAGACTTGTGGTGTAACAAGTGGCAGAATGTTGAAAAGTTACCAGAAACAGCATTAAATACTCTGGTTTTGTGTAATAAAAACATGTTTCCGCACATACATTTGGCGCTGTTTTTAATTTGTGTAATGCCAGTTAATGTGGCATCTTCAGAAAAAAGTTTTTCTAGTTTAAAACGACTTAAGACTTGGCTTCGATCTACTATGAGTCAAGAAAGACTAGTAGGTTTAGCGCTACTCCACATACATCAGGACAGAAAATTAAATATTGATTCGGTATTAGACAGATTTGCAAAAATTAAAAACAGGAACCTTAGGTTAAATTAGTTAGAGCCATATCAATAAATAAAAAGAAATTGTAACAACGGTTTAAAATCCCCTTTCATTTTTATAAACTTCTTATACGTTTGTTAAACATTATTTACATTTTTAAGTTAAATTTTATTAGCAGTTATAACTTTTAGGCAAACTACATGTTGAGTGGATAATTGTAAAATATTTTTTTATACCTACATTATGTAATATATTAAATCACATATTTATATTTTTTAAACTTTATTATATTGCATTTAATATTTGAAAATTTTGTTTTATTGTATGTATAATTTTGTAATTTATTTTTAATAACAATATTGATAAATATGTTGAGAAAAATCCTTAAGCCCCCCCCTAGCCAATAAAAATATCTACGCTCTTGTTCAGAACCAAGTAGTGAATTCCTGCAAGCATTTTTTTGGGGATACATTTAATTTAAAAAGTAAACACTACCTGCAGAACGTTGTAAGGCAATTTATTTTTGCACATTTAGGTGTGCACTCCACTGCCTGGCATGACTGTTTCTACAGCAGCTTTTAAATCTGTCACACTACTCAAACATTTTTTTTTTCCTTGGCCAATAAAACACTAAAAAATAGAATGGTGACACGAATGCAAACAACGTATACTTTTTTTACCTATTTGTTAAAAATATCTTCAGTAAGTTGGCCCTAATGTGTGGTGCTTTCAATTCAATCATGTCTGGTCCGCGAAATACAGCATACCTATTCCAAATGAGCATAATCTATCGTGTTTAGACAGGATCCACTGAAGACCCTGAAGACTTTGGCATGAATTTTTGATATTTCCTTTCAACATGCGAACTATATTTATTAAATTACACAACCGATAACCCATTGGAGACCTGTAAAGCCAAGAGCCGAGTCAAAATGTCAAAACCTCAAAAGTCAAAACAAAGTAGTGAGCGTTGCCAACTCAACAATGATAGATGACAAAAATACCATGTGACCATGTTGTCATCGGCAACGTCACCATTACTCCATTACCTTATACAGTGATTAATATTTTTTGAAAATTGTACATAAAAATAACTCACAAAAAAACAAATTTAATAATTATATTAATATTACTGAGCTAATGTAGAGGAAGGAAACTGTAATATCCCACTTTTTTATTTAGTAACTTTTAACTCCATTAGGTTTTGGGTCCTCTGTCGGTGCATGTTGAAACTGTTTTCATTTGAAAAAACACTTTAAATCCAAATGTTCGTTGAAAGTTAGAAACAAGATAAGAAACAAGTACAAATGTTCAAATTATAAACAAAGCATCATTAGTATCAAACAAGTGTGTTTAGCGTTGTGGGGATCAGTTTTTAAATAAAATTCCTCTATAGCATAAAACAACTTAAAATGGAGAATTGTTTTTATAGCAGTGATGATGAACTGGCTTGGGGTCCTCTGACCCTCGCAGAAATAAAAAAGGAATTTCAAAATGAACCGAAAAGATTAATTAAACGTAGAGAAACCGATTTGTAAGTAAAATAGAATAGGCATTTATATGTATATTCAGGTTTTTTTTTTCAGTGGACATTCAACGTCGTTTTTTACCCCTTCAACAACGTTCTGTGATGATAAAAGCCAACATAGTGATAAAATGAATAGCTCTTCAGGAACATCAGCTTATTTTACTCCAAATGAAAGTTTACAACAGCCACAAAAATCAGCTTTAAGTAGAAATGATTTGTTTTTAAAAAATTTGAGTGAAGCCATAGAAAGTGATCACGATACCAAAAGTGACGTGTGTTCTCTCAACATAAAAAGAGACACTCTTATAAATATCTTAGAGGGACAGAAAGGGCGAGAATCTGACTTTCTTGAAGGGGTTCAGCAGACTCTTGTTGAGAATACTTTGCAAGAGTTGGAAGATACCATCGGAGGACAATCTGAAGAAACATGTGAAGACAGTGAAGATAATATTATCGTTATTAGTGATGATAGTAGCAGTGAAACGGATGAAGAAGTACCACTAATCACAGATGTCAAAATGGAACATGCATACAATGATTTATATGAAAATGATTTATTAGAAGTTATAGAAGAAAACTCGGAAAAAAGTACCAGTATTGATTATAATCAAGAGCAGCTAAATGTTTCAGAGATCAGTCATGTGAGTTCAGAAGCTGGTAGAAGTGATGATGTAAATGATCAAGAGAATGAAGCAGTAGAAGACAACATTGAAAAGATTGACAACATGAATCTCAATGATAGACCTCTTAACATTTCTGCTGTAAGTCACTGTAGTATCGAATCTGAAAAAAATGAGACTGGTTCTTCAAATTTTGCATTACTTGATCGACCTACAATATCAGTAACTTCTGATGAAAGTGAAGAAAGTGAACAATGTGACTCAGATACATTCAACGATACTATTGAAGAAATGAAAATGGCGCTAAGAAAAGGCTTAGATTACACAATGCCTGGAGACAATTCCCCCAAAAGTTTCTGTGAAAGTAAACCTAAACCAAACGGAATCCCTAAATTAAAAAAAATAGTAAAGACACCAAACAAATTTGATTATGTGCAGAGTCCCATTGGAGATTATATTAGGAAAAAGTCACCAAATTCGGAGAATTTTAAATTACCATTAAAACCTGCGAAAAGTAGATTTCATACACCTAATGCAAAATCAAACCTTGTTCCAACCAAACAGTTCAAAAATATCATCAGTCCAGTTGGCGTATACATTAAGAATAGTCCATGTGTAGTTTTGAAACACAACGCTTCAGTGAAAACCGTGTCTGCATTAAAATCAACTCCTGAAACTGATGTGATTCCAAATAATGATGATGGTATTATTTTCCCAGAAGTTGTGTACAAACCAAGAAAAAAAGTAGTGAAGTCTGTTCAAAAAGAGGTAATACTACCATCCAGTTTACAAAAAATGGTCCAAGAGCCTATTATTACCCAACATGAATGTAGAACTCAAGGAAAAACTAGATCAGAAATAGTTCAAAAATTGGAGGACGGAAACTTAACCGTTGATTCTAGTATATTAAATCCGTCAGATGTGTCGTATATTAATCTAAAGCAAGCCTTTATAAAATAATTATTATTATGTATGTGTAGGTGTTAACGTTTTGATTGCGGTAACAGTTCTATTAAATTTTACGTATTCATTTATTTGACTTTTGTTTTTGTGAAAATCCCGGTCGGCTGCAACGCCCTCGTGACCCCTAGTCCACCAATTAGAGAGCGACAACGCTTAAAATAAAAGACATGCGCACTTTGAAAGCCACGTAACAGTTGACAACATTGTCGGTAAGGTTGTGTGGATTGTGCCGGTGTAAAACTGTTCAATTTAACAATAATTCAGTTTAACCTTAGTGAAAATGTATTTGTATAAATTATTCGTTTTGTGTTTTTTATATTCCGCGTGTTGGGCTAAAGAAGAAGACGTTTTAGAGTTTAGCGACAGCGATTTTGAAAGTAGAATAGCTGAACATGAAACTGCCCTGGTTATGTTTTATGCCCCATGGTAAGTACACGGCCTTCTTTCGAGTTTTTCTGCTAATTTTCACCAAAGGTGTGGCCACTGTAAGAAACTCAAGCCTGAATATGCCAAAGCCGCTGAGGACTTGATTAGAAACGACCCTCCGATTGCTTTAGTCAAAGTTGATTGTACTGAAGCAGGAAAAGATACTTGTAACAAACACGGAGTAAGTGGATATCCCACTTTGAAGATTTTCCGCAACGGAGAGTTTTCTCAAGAATATGGAGGCCCTAGAGAAGCTGGAGGTATTGTCAAGTTCATGAAAGCACAAGTAGGACCAAGTTCGAAAGAAGTCTCTAGTGTGGCAGATTTGGAGAAGTTCCTGCGAGTAGAAGGTGAAGTTTCAGTTGTTGGCTTCTTTGAGAAGGAATCAGATCTGAAGACCGCTTTTCTCAAACTTGCTGACAAATTGAGAGAGAAGGTCAGATTTGCACATTCAACATATAAGGCTGTTTTGGAAAATCAAGGAATTAGTGATGGTATTGTTCTATTCCGGCCACATCACTTGCACAACAAATTCGAAGATGACAGTGTCGCCTACTCTGGACCTGCTGTCACTGGTGACATTAATGATTTCATCACTAAAAACTAGTAAGTATGATGTGTGATCAAGTTTTCCCTAAAATTATTGTTGGGTTTAATAGTACTTTCATGATGCAATATTTGATCATTTAATTATATTGCTATTATACTGAAATGACAAAAGTAAAGAAATAATTACTGAATCATCATCAAAAGTTTTTTTTTTTTTTTGCATCCTAGAAACAATTAAATTATTTAATGAGCAGTTCATTGTCATTTATTTTTGTGTTTGTTATCTAAATATTAACATATTTTTAACGATTTTTTTACTTCAGAGATTGTTTTAATTTATGTATAAGCTAAATTGTAAAATGAATTTTAGTAGCTACATTTTATCTTCGTTAATAAAGATAAATTTTATGTACTTTCCAGTCATGGTCTAGCGGGTCATCGTAAATCAGACAACAGAAATGACTTCCAAAATCCATTAGTTGTCGCATACTACGCTGTGGACTATGTGAAGAATCCCAAAGGTACAAATTACTGGCGTAACCGAGTTTTGAAGGTTGCTAAGCAATATCAAGACAAAGTTACTTTCGCAATTAGCGCTAAAGATGACTTCCAATATGAGTTGAATGAATATGGCATTGATTACGTCAAGGACGATAAACCACTTGTATTGGCTCGTGATGCGAAAAATCAAAAGTTCATTATGAAGGATGCTTTCTCGTAAGTATATCATTTGAGTAGGATCAAAGAAATTCAGTCTCAACCATAAAAATACTGACAGATGATTAAAAAACAGCAGTCATAATTTTACACTTTATATCACTATTTGAGTGAAAAATTCAAGCGCATCGTTTTTAAAAAAAAAATCTTGTTTTAATCAAAGAAACATGTACATGATACATAAATGTGTGTATTATCAAGGAAACGAGAGGTGAGCGGCCATAACGTTTCCAGTCGCAAACAGCGCAACTCTCGTTACCCCGGCTAGATATATGTTGATTACTTCATAATAATTTTGAAGTAATTTAATTAGAGGTGTCTCAAAAATACTGAATTGTTTTATTAATAATTAGATAAATATAATTATTCAATTTTATTGAATTTTTCAAGACACAATGAGTTGATATTTATGAATAAAGACTAATCAAAATATATTTATTCCTTTTTCCACAAAATTGATGGCATCCTAAAAATACAGAACTAATAAATGTTTTGTAAAATTATTTTAACAACATGGGTCAAATAAGTTGTGAAAACGTTATGGACATGTAGGATACAAAATCTCATCTAATGTCTCGTTTCTTAATATTCCCGTAATCACAATACCAAGATACTGAATCAATTTATGGTGTTCGTTGAGCTCCAACCTAACTGTTCAGAAGTTTATACATAATTTTTCTATACATTTAGCATTGAAGTTTTGGACCAATTCGTCAAGGATCTTCTTGATGGAAAACTAGAGCCTTTCCTAAAATCTGAACCCGTCCCCGAAAGCAACGACGGACCGGTCAAAGTTGCGGTTGCTAAAAATTTCGACAACGTCGTAGTTAATAATGGAAAAGATACGCTCATCGAATTTTATGCACCTTGGTGCGGTCATTGCAAAAAATTAGCGCCTGTCTTCGACGACGTGGGTGAAAAAATGAAAGATGAGGATGTTGAAATTGTAAAAATGGATGCCACTGCTAATGATGTAGCTCCAATCTTCGATGTCCGAGGATTCCCGACTCTTTATTGGATGCCGAAAGATTCCAAGGATAGTCCAGTTCGTTACGAGGTATGTTGGTGTATCAGGCTGAATATTAAGATGTGGAATTAACTTTTTTTGTTTGCGTAGGGTGGTCGTGAATTGGACGATTTCATTCAATACATCGCCAAACAAGCAACGTCCGAATTGAAAGGATATGACAGGAAGGGCAATCCCAAAGCAGAAAAGACTGAACTCTAAAAGTGTATTCATTTAAGTGATTGCACCTGTGTAATTATAATTTGTTTAAATTTTCAACAAGCTGATGTTTTCCATGTAGTTTGAATGTACTTGTTTTATAATCAAAGTAAATTGCAGTAATATTTTTTTATTCTTGAAATTGAAGTATGATACAATAACGTTTTTTATAAAGAATTGAGGTTACTTTTGTTTGATACTGCTTTAGTTTGTATGTTGATAGTGATTTATTCACATTTTCCAATAAAAACGATAAAACTAACTACTTGTGTTTGAGATTGGTAGAACATGTTTGTGAATGAAATGCCAATATGAAAGACATACAATAAGTATAGTGCAAACATTTTTGCACAGATGAAATAAACAGGCTATATATAGACTGTAATTTCAGATCTAATCAGTGACGATCTTATTCCGTGTAGATCCCATAATACCATATGCATGCTTGGTTATCTGCCACAATTAAATCAAGTTGTGGCGCTTGGGTTAACAGTGTACTACTTTATCTTTTTATATACATATACTTCGATCTCTTTTGCGCCCATGGACGCGGTAAATAGGTAAGTACAGTAAAACTAACACATTTTTCAAATCAATACTGCATTTTAATTTTGTAAAAAAAATTTGATGTGAAACATAGAATTTTTTTGAGGTTAGGGACAATTTCAAAAACTTTCTCTTTATAATTAATAAATACTATTTATTATTTTAATCTAAAACTTTACAACACTTTATCTGGGAATTCCAGTTTCAAGATGCAATCCATGTATATTTTTAATTTGTTCTTTTATCGAATCATATACTACTTTATGTTGTTTGGGTATCGAGAGTCCTTTAAAATCACTGCTTTCTACATAAATATTAAACATTGTCCCACATCCTCCTGACATGTCTTCAACTTGAATAATAGTTTCTGGTGACGAAAACCTTTTCCCTAGTATGGTTTTAATTTTCTCTTCAGTAACTATTGCGTTTTTATTAGAACAATATCTAACTGTCATACCTATCTAAAATGACCTATTATTCGTGTACATTTTAAAACCCGTTTAAACGTACTAATCGTGGACTTCTCCGTCGAGTTATTTCTGCAATAAATGTGTTGTATCCCCTGAAATATATTGAATTGTTCATTTTGCTAGCTTTTGTTTATTTAAATCGATATGAAGTTGAGTAAACCTAAAATAATACATTAGCTGGAAGTAACCATTTACTCATATCACTCAATACGTTTAAGCTTGTACAACGAATTAACAGAAAAAATTCTGTAACTAGAAAATCATCTTTTATACCAAGGCATATGATGTAAATACTCGATTGCCTAATATTTTATCTGTGCTGGTGGGTATCAACACTAGATGGCACAAGCCAAAAAATTTGTAACAAGTTATCGTTTTAAAATTCTGGTAAATGCCACTAGATGGCGCTAACTGTTAAAACTGAATGTCTTCTAACTGATACGAATTTTGCAATGATTCGATTGGTTGAACACACGTGAAAACAATAAAACTATGACTAGTAAATTTGCGCTACTACGTATAGATAAAAACTTTTGAGTATTAGTAGTTGTGTTTCTAAGAATATTTTATATAAGTGGAAATAAGGTGTGTGGAATTTGCATGAAATGATGTGCTATCTCATGATCTGCGAACTTTTAGTTTACACTACATATCTCTGTTTTGAAACCTACGACAAATTAAAATGAGATAGAAAAAGAATCAGAAAAGGCATGATCATAAAAAAATCAAACAAGTTAAAATATCATACAGAAGAAGCAAACATTTTTGTTATTTTTTTTATGACTTCATGTTGAATTTATCAATTTTTTCTAATAAAAATAAACCCATCATATAGGTTAATAAAAATAATATTTCATTCATTTTTTAAGGTTAGACTGTTTTTTTTACAACATGGAAATGCTTAGTGTATAGCCAGTTCTGTAAAAGAAATGTCGACCGAATGTAACAATTACTTGGAAAAAAGTGACTATGTTTTTTATTATACAACGCTTTAGAAAAGACCACCGTTGTTAATATTGTATGGGTTTGTGATTTTTACAAAGGTGATTGAATTTTGCATCAAATAAGCAATGCAGCAACATTTTATTGTGATATAACAAAAGTTTAATTATGTTCTAAATTTAGAACAAAGACATGAACTTTGTTACCTTAAAAAAATGACCCATTTTGCATTTTGCATTGTAACTATTATTATTATTATTATTATTAATATTATTATTAAACTATAAAATTTGCCAAGTTGTTATTTGGATAGTGGCAAGATGCGTTTGTTTTCTACAGTCATATCATGAGAGGATTGAGACGAGCTCATGTAAGAAAAATAATGTTTTATAATAAAATAATGGTAACACCTTTAATTAGTTTACTCGACGAAGTGGCTTTAAAAAAATACACATTTTCAATTTTTTTAATAACTTGCCATTTAATTGTTTTACTAGTCACTACAAAATCATGTTTGAATTGTCAACAATGTGAATAAAACGTGGTCTGTAAGTATAAAACTTTTATTTCTGACAGTAAACATTTTTTTATAAATAGTCAGTTTTTCACCTATTTATGTCAAGCGTCTAACCGTCAAACGAACAAAATCATATCTACCTACATGTTACTAACACTAAAAATATGGGTTTATAAAGATTATTTGGTCGCTATTATTGATAAAAACATCACATGACACAACAATATATAAAAGTGTAGACAAAATAAGATTTGATATTTCGAGAGTCTGAATGTTAAAAATATTTAAAATGGGGTTAAACCTGCTGCGGTGTGAGTGACGCAAACAATTCCTGTTTTATTATCGCGGTAAGACCGCAAACGTAACGAAAGCCAATAGGAGCCGTCTTCATAAATTAACAATCAACGTAAAAAATAATCAATATTTATGTATAGGCACACGAGAAAATTAAAAATAAATGTCCCGCCTTATACTTTTAATGATCCGTGGAACCTGTCCTCACCCAACGGAAAATCCACATTACTCTATAATCATACTAGATGGAAATCGGAGAAAAATAACACATGCTGTTTTTTTTTTATCTGGTTTCACCCCACTCCCCTCTCGTCGGAGTTCAGTCCTCTATTTGTAAATAAATAGTAGAGGCCCCCACTCCTCTAATGACGTCATGCCTGCCATTCTATATGTTCCTTGAATGTAGACGTAACGTAACCTTGATTCGCTTTCCTACGCAAGAGTCTGAAATGTTTACATAATTGTCGATATTTTTTCTTGAGATATTGTGTGTAATTTTTGCATCGTCGGCTCGTTTCACAAATTCTGAGACGATTTCGATAAAAACTCGGCGAGTTTGACGGTCGCGATGCTGCAAGAAGTGTAATGTTTACATGGAACTACTTTTCGTAGGCGCATGTTTTTACGTGAAAGCACCCAAACAACAGTTAACGAGGTTGGTATACGCGATATCGCCACGAAATGGCGCTTTCAGTCGATTAGAGAGCTGCGCGTAGAGAGCTGTTAAAGGTCGTGCCACAGTGTATTTACAAACAATCTCATAAACACAAATTGTTTTCTCCGTGAAGTGTACCAGTGTTGATGCCCGAAATGCCCTCAGCCGATATGCGCACAGCAACCATGAACCCCATCAGGGGTCCAGAATTCAACATCAGCTCAAAAGAAGTCGAAGGTTTGGTTTTAGAAATCAAAGAAAACCTGCGCTTGTCGGCAACGACCATGAAAGCCATTCCGTGCAGCCATTTGTCGCGGAAGTCCTCCAGGGCTTCACCGTATCGAATTCCCGGAAAAGTTTGCTGCGGGGATTCGGGCAATTCGGGCACCTGCGACACATGTATCCTCAAGAAAAGCAAGCGCAGGCTGCAGACGCACGAAACCCAGGAGGACCCGTACGAGCTGCTACAGAAGCTGCTCAGGGACGGGAGCCTCGTCAACGAGGCGGTTCGGCGGGTGCAGCTGGGGCTCACCCCGAAGCAGAGGTACTTCTACGAGTCGGACGAAGACAACAGTCCCGTGCTGCGGCTATACTCGCAGGAGAGTTAAATTAAACGTACATTTAATTTATTTCGTCGTTCTGTCGTTGTTATATTGTTCCTGTATCACAGTGATGAGTGTTGAACGTGAGAAATTGGAAACGTTGCTGTTGCGTCAGCGAGAGTACAGTCCGAGCCAAAGAGACAGAAGCACAATTCGTACAGTCGGGGACAACGCTCCCGATTTTTGTTTGTCTCTGATTTGTTCGACGAAATCTGAGATAAGTTTTTTATAAAATGCTGTGTTACGCTTAAGATTTACCAGACCTTTATGTAGTGTTATTATTTGGAACTCTCCGTTATCTGTGATGGTACAATAATCCTATCCAGCTTTGTTTACCAATTCACAATTACAACATGTTCTTTGTGAAACGTATGCTCTAAATTATTAATCTCGACTAAATTTGTGTTAGGATGGATTTATTGTAGGGGCGAAACTTTTCTTTGTCATGTGTGTACCGAATTAGTTAATTTAAACATCAAAAGTACATTTTAAATTATTTATTATTGCCGAAAAACGAGAGGTCCCTTTCGGTACTCAAAAAGCAACTCGTTTTCGGCATATTGCAATTAGATTGAACTGATTCTGTTGCTATTCTTGTGATATAGGTAGTTGTTATGTATAAATAAATTCTCAATTTGACGAGAGGAATTCTTGTGATTTTTATATTCACTTCGTAAATGCATTTCCTCTTTTATTTTAATTTGCTGTGTTCTTTAATTAGTTTACTGGACGAAGTGGGTTTAAAAAAATATGTAGATTTTCAATTTTTTTAAAAACTTGTCATTTATCGCTAGTTAAATTTAGGTATTTAATTCTTTTATCACATGTCCCTGGATATTGAAGATTACCAGACTTGTGTGGTAAATTTTATGTTATTTATGTACGTTTTTGTTACAATTGCAATAATTTGTATTTACATACCTTGATGCCTGTGGCATTCATTTATTATTCTGTATTACAATGTCGAAAAAATAAAAATTGCAATGAAGATGGACTTTTCACTGGAAAAACCCCAATAGAAGTGTAACACGTCATCTTTATTATTTTTATTATTATTATTATTAAGTACGCACGTTGGTCAACAGGTAAAAAATAACCCAATTACAGACCAACAGAAAGAAAAGAAAAAACTGTAAATATTTAGCTTTGGTAACAGCTATAGATTACTGTTACTTCCAGACAGAACAAGTTAATATAGGTTAAGATAAGGACTGTACCTATGATAAGTATCCAACCATTAAATGATTGCAATAATAAAATGTTTCTTCTACTAAACTGCTATACAGTTTTAAGCAGAAGCATTCCAGAGCAAGAAATTTGCTTTTTTAAAATTGTAAGCAAGCGGACACACATGAAAGTTTTTCTGGTGCTTTCGGGCAAAAGAAGTTGTTAACCTCCTCAACACAGGGGCGTCGTTATGGGGGGCTATAGCAGGGCAGCGTACCCCCCCGCCCCCCAAATTCAGAGGCTATCAAAACTTGGCAAAATTATAAATAGTTGGTAAATCATTCGATTGTCTACATTAAAAGAAAAA